ACCCTCTTCTGGTTACCACTGTTAAGGATTTATTCCATCCGTTTATCTATTTATTAACTCAGAAAACATGTAGCACCCATAGGGCTTTCTTTTCTTTTTTTCAATAAAATGCAGTGATTATTTTTGCACTTTATATTACTTAACTGTATATTATAGATATTCTTTCTCATAACTGCTTGGGCATCTAACTAGTACTTCTTTACAGAGCAAAAAAAAAAAAAATTCCTAAGGGCAAATCTACCATATTTCATTTACTCATTCCTATATTCACAGGCACTCACTTTGTGTGTGTGTGTGTATTTTCGAGGACTGCTTTTGTTTTGATCTTGTTGCTTTCGGTTTTTGTTTTGGCTGCCAAAAGTGAAGACACAAATATCTAAGAAGACTTTTTTCCCAAGATACCATGTCCAAAAGAAACCAAACAGAATTTTTAGTACAAAACATAAAGCTTGACTATCATTTTTCAAAGCAAATAAGAGGTTTTTAAAGGATGAGTTTCCTGTTTGAGTACAAGATTCTGCAGTTTGATTGTTGTTGTTAAGTCAATAAATCGTGTCTGACTATTTGTGACCCTGTGGACTGTAGTTTATGAGGCTCCTGTGTCCATGGCATTTCACAGACAAGAATGCTGGAGTGGGTTGCCATTTCTTTCTCAAGCAGTTTGATATGTTTCTTATTTTTATTTCAAAAGCTGAAAGTGCTTTGGGGGCATGGTAGTGAACATAATACTGGAAATGCCCTCCTGGTTTAGAAATGCACTGGCCTATCCAGTTGCCGCTAACCACATGTGCTTCTTTAAATCTAAAGTAATTAACATTAGATAAAATTTCAGTTCAGTTCCTCTGTCACGTTAGCCACGTATCAATAGCTACATGTGTACACATGTTGGACTTTAATGCTGTGCACCTGAAATGTATTTAATAAAAATAATAATAACCAGATGTGGCTCGTGGCTACCATCTTAGACTCACATCTGTGAAACATTTCCCATATGGCAGAAAGATCTATTGGACAACAATGATTTCAACTGACTAAAGTCAGATTGCCTGCTTTCAAATCATAGCTGTGCCCAGCTGAGTTGTATGTGACCTTGGGAAACTTACTTTGCTTCTCTGGGTATCAGCTTCCTCATCAATAAAGTGAGTATAATAGCAATCCTTCTGTGTTTCTGAGAAAGATTAGCTATAGCACTATTGATGAACTGTTGAACACTTTACCTAAGATATAGGTAAGCATCAAATAAGTGGAAACTATTCTTTTTTTCCTAGTGTTTGATTATCTCTTTTTTCTTTTGGAAGGCCAGGAGGTGAGTTCTGTGTTTGTTTGTTCAAACATAGTAGCTGCAAGATATTGTTGCCCTGATTTCTAGCTGGACCAACAAAAGATGGTATAGTAAGCTGTAAGCAACCTCCATTTGTCAGCCTGGTGATTTTTTTTTTAAACATGCTGTCCCTGAGAAACACGGTAGAATTTGTTTTACTTCTCTTCTGCCAGGAAGTAACCCTTCTGGCTTTGTTAGAAGTGTGGTTTGTAATAATTGTACCCACCCCAGATGGCTCCTGAAAAACCTTTGAAATGCCATCTGCCAGGCGTGTGTCCGGCAGGCAGCCTGTCATTCTGCTGAAAGAAAAGAGAGGGCGGGGTCCCCTCCCAGGCCCTTTCTCCCTAGCATCTCTGAATGGGAGTCTGGTCATGTGGACCAGGCCCAGGGCCTGTTGCTCAGAGGATAACTCCAGTAAGCTCCTGCTGGCCTGCAGAGAGGAAAGGTTTTGTCTGGGTAGCAAACCCTGAAGGTTTTGTGGGTGGAGCTGAATCCTCCCCTACCTGCTTTCCCTGCTGCTTAAAGGCCATTCTAAGCGTATTTATTTCCAAGGGAAAATGGGGTCTGCTTGTTTTCATTTTTCCTCTAAAATGTACCATTTTCCCCCAAGTTCTTGATCATTTTCAATCCTTTCAGGAAATGAAGTCCCAGAGGCTAGTGTTGTCTCAACAGTTACTCTGACAAATTGGTTCAGAAAACATGACTGGAAGAAATGTCAACGATAAGATGATTATAGGAGGGGGAGAAAAACCAAAATATTGTCTGGTGTGGAAGACTTAAAAAAAAAACAAACAAATCTTCTGTTTGGTCTTACTTATTTATCCACATTTGGGGGTGCTGGGGATGGAGGGATGGATTTAGTTAATAGAATTTTGGTATGGAGACTTGAGTGTGAGAGTGGCCATATAGAACATATTTAGGACAGATTCTGTCACAGCAAGTTTCAGAGAGATTCTGTTCTTGCCCTACACTGGAATTTCCCAGTATGGTGCGGACTGTTTGTGTTTTCCAAAGAGCCGGCTGAACAGCTTTTGGGCTTGGCTCTGAGGCATCACACCCTCCTCCTCCTCCTGCTTTGTTGACAGCTGCCTCTTCATCTCCTCTGAGGATCTTTTCCTCTTCTCAGTTTCCAAAAATTGTAAAGTTTTTGTGTTTAAGGCAGACTTCTTGACTGCTTTTTCTATCATGTCTCTCCCCCTAGATTCATTCTTTCTTTCTCTTGCCTTCAAATGCCAGTGGTTTAGTGATAACTCTCAAATTTAGGGCCCAACCACCCATCTGATTTTTCGATTTACATATTCAGCTGTCCAGAGCTCTCTACACCCAGGTGTCTGATAGGCATCTCAAGCTTTCACATATTCAGAAGTGAACTCTTAATTTTTTTTCCCCTTATGCACCATTCCCCCATCTTCTTGATGTCTGCAAGTAGTACATCCCATTTGCCAAGGTCATATTCTTCTGTTTTTCTTACACACTCTATCAGCGGTTTCTGTCTTTAAAATCTAAACCTAGCATGGCCTGATGAGTTGATGTACTTTGAACACATCTATCCTATGTAGTCTCTTACAGCCGTTTAAAGTGTTCACAATTCATAATAGAAATCTCATTACTTATCACCTCCATCCTATTGTTCTTGTCTATGCCCTAATTTTTTTTTCTCAACTGGATACTGAAGAGAGTAAAAGTGTTAGTCTCTCAGTCATGTCTGACTCTTTGCAACCCCATGGACTGTAGCTTGCCAAGCTTCTCGTTCATGGAGTTCTTTAGGCAAGAATGCTAGAGTGTATTGCCATTCTCTTCTTTGGGGGATCTTTCCCAACCAGGGATCAAAGCAGGGTCTTCTGCATCGCATGCAGATTCTTTACCACCTGAGCCACCAGGGAAGCTCAGTTATGTATGTAATTTGAACTATTATACCAACTCATTTCATTCTAATGATAACATGAACTGTGTATCTGGTAGCAGGTACAGAGCTAGGCCTTTTAAAAGCCTTGTCTTATTCAATACACACAACAAATGTGTGGGTAGTTTATTGTCCTTATTTCACAGGTTAGGAAACTGAGAAACAGCAGAAGCTCAGGAATGAGGCAGACCATGAATTCTTCATTCCCTTTCTATGTGTACCTGCTCAACAGCAGTGTGCTCTGGAGTACCCACTATATGCCTGACACCGAGATGTAAATTTAAACGTTGTAAAGTACCTCAAGGGTGTCATAGTCTGCCAGGGAAGCAAGATATGGGAAAAATGGGAAAAACTTAGGAAACAGTTTAAGAACAGACTTTTAGACACTACACAAGCAGGCTTCTATACCAGAAAGTCCTGGTGTGCTGAGCATGACAAGCAAACATTTGTAACATAACTGGTGCTATGGATAATTTGCAGCTCTTTCTAACACTCAGATTTCCGATGTTAGAAAAAATCGACTTGTTTAAAAATGTGTTTTCCTTGAGTAAGATATGCAAGAAGTGTTGAGTTTTTGACGTAAGAGAATTCTGGTCATCTACTGTAGATGCATGGAAATTCACATGGGCAGGTAATCAGAGACTGTGTTCTGCCATGAACACTGGAGACAACATACAGTTGGTTATTTAATTTCTTTTTAGGGAGAATTAGAACTAGGACTAGAGGAAAACATTCCTGCTTATTATATATATATATATATAAAGACTTAAAGGCACTATGTGCCTTGCAGAATGAACTCATGTTGGTTGTATGCCCTACCTAACTTGAATGTTGGAGCAGAAACCATTAATTTTGCTTTTGTTTTTTTTTTTTTTTATCTCCCCTCCCATTTAATATAGATTCCTAGTATGTACTACAACATTTCTTATGGTTTCTTTTTTTAGTTTGAGTGTAAACCACACTCCTTCCACACTTTTGATTGAGGTTGACTGGGCTAAAATGATAGGTCTTTCACCCAGCACCTTGGCTGGGTGACTTAAATGTTTTAGAGGGTCTGTGTTATTTCATAAGAATTGTTATATTTATGAGTCTTTGAATGAATGATGAGATTAATTCAGGGGGAGAATTTTCTATCAAATTCAGTGTCCTTTTTCTCCTCTCAGAACTTATGGGTGGCCTCTTTTTGCCAAACATATTAATTACATGGAGACACAGCAACATTTTGATCCCTGGGAGGTATCCAGCCACAGATCTTGGGCAATTGAATTTCTCTAGTGATGTGTTTATGCAGCGGGTGTCATTTTCTTCAAAGGGCTTATTACATTGGAAGTTGCCGGATGTATTGAGGAACACAAGAATTTCGAGGCCTGTGATAAAATTATAAACCCCTTAGGCTTTGAGCTTAAGGTGGATAATGTTTTTAGAATTTACTGGAGCCCTAAAAGCTGCTGATTGTGAATGTTATCTGTATAAAATCCAGTTCACCCTTTTCATTCAGTGCATTCATCATTTTTTTTAAGTGATAAAAATCTCCCTGGGTTGCCTTGCTGTGTTTGGTTTTCTCTTTCTGGTATTTGAGGGGCCCAGGCACGAGAGGATGGAAGTCAGGATGCTTTTCTGCTAGAAAGAAGTTACCTTTGCCAGGTCCCTGTCTCAGTAGGTGGGTCTGTCAGCTTAGGTACTTACTGAACTGGTTATTTTAATTACACCTGGATGGGGCACTTCCTCTTTCAGTGGACTGATGTTTTCTTGTGCCTTTTGCCTTGTCTGCTACAGGCACAACCCGGTCTCCCAGAGAAGGAGAGGTGCCTGGCGTGGACTATAACTTTCTGACTGTGAAGGAGTTCTTGGACCTCGAGCAGAGCGGGACTCTTCTAGAAGTCGGCACCTATGAAGGTGAGCTGATCTGTATGGCAGCAGTGAGCATGCCTCTCTGCTGGGCACCACAGAGGATCCTGGGCCATTGAGGCAGAGATGTTCTATGGACTAGTGAAGTCTAAACATCTGTAGGAGATGGCAGTTCACCTTAGTGGGATTAATAATAATAAAATATATGGAATAAGGCTTGTGGAGCTGTTTAAAAATAATTTTGGATTTTTTTCATCCAGGATTTTCTCCTTTAATTTGTTGATTTAAATGCAGACACGTGTGCGTGTGGGAGTGTGTGTGTGTGTGTGTGTGTGTGTGTGTGTTTAATATGGGTATGTACAGTATTAGAAAGAAGAGGAAGAAGACTCGTAGCATAAAATGTGACCTTATAGGTGGTAGTGTTTTAGTATCTAAAGGACTGGAATGTCATTTGTACCACCAATTGATGTTTAATATATTTTTGAGTAGGTGATAGATTTTCATGTAATATTTCAAAGCAGAATATTTCAGAAGTATTTAGTAAGTAACCTCTTTCCTAGATTTATCTTCCACCTGCCTAATTTCCATTTATGTTTTCCCCAGATATTAAAACCAGTGTTATTCATTTCTGTTACTCTTCTGAAATTTTTTTTAATGTAAATACAAACATATACATGCAAGTGGCATATGTGTGTTCTCATATCTTCCCTGTTTTATAAAGAAGATATACACTATATGCTATTTGGCATCTTGCTCTTTTATATCATGAAAGTATGTCTTCTGAGTCTTTGAGGTTCAATACTAGAGTGCTTTTTGTTTTCTTTTTAAAGTGACTAAGTAATCTCCTGACTACGTGGACCACAATTTATTTAACTAGGTCTTTTTGAATAAACATTTTTTAATATTTTAAAACATGACTGTGTTGAATAACATGAGTATAAGTCATTTCATATAGGTGAAAGTAAATCTGTAGGATGAGAGCAAAGCCAAATGTGGGGAGAAAATTAAACTTACATCTTCTGAAGACAATATTATAGCTTGATTGCTTTGTTGAGTGTTTTTATTTGAGACAAAAGGACATACTATGATACTGTTAATAACTGGGTCAAGTTATTAAGTTTTGTGTACTAAAATCTGGATTTATGGGATGAACACAGTGGCATTTTCCAGATGAGACTTAAAAACAAAGGATGAATATGAAATAGACTATTATTTTATTAAGGGCATTGTAAATTTTGATGTGATAATTGCCCCTGTTTCAGGGGCATTTTTTGCAGTGGGTATAGGAAAGAACATTAACTTTGTGCCTACTGTTCATGTCCAAATTGTGAATGTACATTAAACATTAGGTAGATATTTATCAGATTCCTAATTGTGACTACAAGAAGATTTTCCTTGAGTATTGCTGGTTTTCCATTGTTGTGAAAGTCGTTCAGTCATGTCCAATTCCTTGCCACTCCATGGACTGTAGCCTGCCAGGCTCCTCTGTCCATGGAATTCTCCAGGCCAGAATACTGGAGTGGGTAGCCATTCCCTTCTCCCAAGGATCTTCCCAACTCAGGGATCAAACCCAGGTCTCCCGCATTGCAGGCAGATTCTTTACCAGCTGAGCCAGTATTGCTGGTTATCCACTGTTGTGGTTTCCTTGAAGTATTGGCATTTGACTGGGGGTTGGTGGGCTGGGAGATGTGAAGGTGCCCCAAGCAAGAATGATTTGTTAAGACTGGTACCTATATACAATGGAATATTACTCAGCAATAAAAAGAAATGCATTTGAGTCAGTTCTAATGAGGTGGATGAAGAGTGAGTAATGAGATGGGTGAAGAGTGAAGTAAGTTAGAAAGAGTGAGAGAAATATCGTATATTAGTACATATGTATGGAATCTAGAAAGATGATACTTCTGATCCTATTTGCAGGGCAGCGAAGGAGATGCAGACATAAAGGACAGACTTTTGGACAAAGTGAGGGAAGGAGAGGGTGGGCTGATATGAGAGAGTAGCATTGAAACATATACATTACCATATGGAAAATAGATAGCCAGTGGTATGACACAGGGAACCCAAAGCTGATGCTCTGTGAACCTAGAGGGGTGGGGTGGGGAGGGAGATGGGAAGGAGGTTTAAGAGGGAGGGGACCTTAGTATACCTATGGCTGATTCATGTTGATGTATGGCAGAAGCCATCACAATATTGTAAAGTATTTATCCTCCAATAAAAAAGAATTGACCTAGTTGTGAGGGAAAGGGATGGGGGCTCAGTGGATGTACCAAGAGCTTCTTCAGTGTGTTGTTTTGTAAATATGAATATGGTTAAAAATTCATGTAGCTGAGAAGAGAGCAAATGTGGATCCTCTTTGGTTTAAGAAAGTGAGTTGTCCTGTCTGAAATCACTTATTATAACCATCAGAGGAGCTTTAATCCAGAATATAAAAAAATATTTATTTGCATGTTTGGAGAGGTTAAGGGTGGGAGTGGCTGTGCAAAGCCAAAGAGTACCTTGTTGAAAAAGAAAAGCATGTGGTTAGGCAACAGCGTATCTGGGACAAAAAAGAAAATCAGCTCATTTTACTGAGGTGTTTATGTTACAAGTGGTACATAGGTGGAGTCACCTTTTTTCCCCATTAATTTTATCACTTTGACAGAGGTAGCTATTATCCCCAGCTTTTTAGATGGGGATGCTTAGACCAGGTAGCACTTAGGGACTTTCTTAAGGTTGTGCAGCTGGTTCCAGAGGCGAGAGCCAGGAAACAGACCCAGCTGTTGGAGTTTTAGATCCCGTGCTCTTTCCTGGACATGCCAAGAAGATGATACTGATGTAACTAAAAAATTGTGATAATAGACCATTAGTACTTTCACCCAACTTCTTGCTGAGTAACAACAGGAAAAAGTTTTTCAGAAAATGTCTAGTCATCCTTACATAAAACCGTCTTTCTGTGAATGTCACTCAGTTATTTTAGAGTTGAAATTCTCATGCGGCGTATGGGTCCAGTGTTTTTTGGCCATTTACCTGTATTCTTCAGCCTTTTGACCTTTTGACCTTTTGGCTGTATGATTTCCCTGCTGTACAAGATGGCTTATAATTTTTTGGTAGCAATTGGAATGTATTGTATTGACTTTCATAAGGTGAAAGCAAAATGGAATTTTTATGATATGCCAGATAGTGTTACAGGAATAGGGCTGGAGAGATCTTTGTGAGCCCCTCTGGGCCCCCTTAGTGGGGATTCTGTCAGTGGGACACTAACAAGCCTGCGGGCTGGGCTGTGGCCCTGCCCGAGTTTAGGTCTCAGCCTCTTTGCTGTTGAGCTGTGTGCCCTCCGGCAAGTTACTTAATGCTGCATGTCTCCATTTTCCCTTCGGTAAAATGAGGATAATAATAGTGCTTTCTCATAGGTAGGATTAAATGAGACAATAATTGGAAAGGGCCGAGCACAGCGTCTGACACACGTAAGCTCTCTGTCAGCGTTGGCTCTTACATTTATACACACGACTGGCCCCAAATTGCCACCCTGGTGGATGGATTCTCTTCTCCTTCTCCTAGTCAGTAAACTAGTGGATTTACCAGTAAAATATCTTTATTTACTTCTCTAGGTACTCATTGTCTATTTCCATTGCTCACATTTTATTCCTCTTGGCCTGACCTGGCTCCAAAGAGGAAAACACCGCAACACAAATCACTCTTTAAAGCAAGACTTTTAAACAGCTTGAAGTAAAAGTAATGAATATACAAGATGGAATTCTTTCTAGAGTAAAGAACTTAAACATCTTTAAGTGTAAGTTGATTCTCCTCCTCCTCACAGGAAACCTCTGTTAAAAGGTCTAGTGCATTTATTTTTTTATTTCATTTATTTATTTATTTATTTATTTAATAAATAAATAATAACCAAAAAAAAAGGTCTAGTGCAAAGATTCGGAAAACGTAGACATAAACTGCATAAAACTAAGTATTTTTGTCCATTGACTTAATACATCCTGGAGATCTTCCCAGTTACCCCACATAGTTCCACCTCATTCTTTATAAATGCTGCAAAATATGCCATTGTATGAATTTATATAGTTTATTTAACTAGCCCCCTGCAGGTGGACGTTTAAGATGCCTCCTCCCCCCACTTTTTTTTAATGTTTTGTAAACAATACTGCTGCAAACACCTCTGTACAAATGTCTCACTGTACTGTTTTGAATAGATTTATAGAGGCAATTCCTGGCAGTGCAGTTTTAAAGGCAGCCCTTCTGTGCCTTCATTTCAGCATTGTCCCATGGTACAGGGTGTGATGTATGGGGCAGAAGATCAAAGTAGCTCTGCCTTTGAAGGTGCTTATGCACCTCATTCTGTCACTTATGCACTATGCTTCATAGTGATTTATTTCTGACAGTGTTTGTCCAGTATATATGTGATGAGTGCTTTTCAAAGTGCATTATGTGTAACAACTCACTTAATTATCCAGTAATCCTATGAGCTGAGTACAGTTTGTCCCCATTTTACAGAAGAAGAGTATGAGGCCCAGAGATGCCCATTGTCTTTTTTTAACTCCATATGGTGAGCCCAAGATAGAGCTGGCATTCAAACCCAGGCTTATCTGGCTCTAGGGTCTCTACTCTACAGCCCCTCAATCTTGGGAGGCAAAATAATTTAAACAGCTTCTAGAGAAGTGATGAGTGTTCAGAGAAGAGAACTACAAGAGTGCTCCGTTGACTCTAACATTAGGGTCAGTCCCCGTGAAGACGTGGTCTTCGATCTGAAGCTTGTCAGAGGACCGCATGAGTTCAGGTGTGGGCACCGACCCTAAAGCCTGAATCCCGAGAAAGCAAAGGCAGTATGAACCAAGAAAAGGTTGGAACGTTGGTGCTAGAGATGGAGAAGCAGGGAATCATCTCTTGCTTCCTGTACAACCAATGCCATACAATAGGACTTTCTTCAGTGATGAAAATGTTCATTATTTCGAGCTGTCCAACACAACAGCCATGGACCACATGTGATTTTTGTTACTGAGAAGCTGCATTTTAAAATTAATTTAGTTTAAACTAGTTTAGCCTTAAATAGTCGCATGTGT